GCTGTGTTCTGTTATTTTCCTTTGTGCAGTTTCCTGGGATAGTTGCAAAGTTACACGCACTTACTGCCTGCAGGGTTCTGAAATCATTTTCCCAGCCAGCATGAGGGATCAGGATTATTTCCCAGAGGACAATTTGCTTCCAAGTACTGCAGGATGCTCAGCAGTGCTCTGTTCCAAGAGAGCTGGGGACAATCTCTCCAAGACTTTAGCCTCCCAAGGGGCAGCTGTTAAGATCTTGATCTGTGCCTGGGAGGGATTAAATAGAATTTTGAGCCTTTGCTTTTCTACAGAGGCTTGTGGGTCACATTCATAACTGGGTTTGGGGTGAGGGGTGGGACAGGATAGAACTGGAACACTGCTGAACTATCATTTTTTGGTGGGCCTCATGCAAACCTGCACCAGGGACAGGCAGCCCTCTCCACTCCACTCCACCTAGCACGCAATGGGTCTTGTCTACTTTGAAACATGGGAGGATTGATTTGTGTCCTTCATCTTCTTTAGGTCCCTCTGCTCTTTACATTTCTGGCTGTTTGTCTTTGTAACCAGACAGGATAGGAGAGCATATCTCTTTATTAAAGATGCATGAGCAACAAGTGCCATATGAAAACCACGTAGGATCTTTTCTGGTCGCACTCCAGAGACCAGGAGGGGCCTAATTCATTTAATCACATATGTCTTGCACTCTGTAAATCCTGGGATCAGCAGTGACTCACAGTGTTCCCATGAACATAACACCCCTGAGTGCTGTGGTGCTTATCCTTTCCTTTCTTCCAGAGTAACTTCTGGGACTGAGAAATATAATAGTGGTTGGTGTCCATAGTAGTTGGGGAGGTAGAAGGCATAGCAACTAATAATGGGTGCACCAAAGGGTAACAGAGATGGCAAAAGTGGCCATCCAGCCAGCCAGCCAGCTGGATGGAGCAGGAGGGGAAAACAGACTGGATCTCTGCAACCTGGCAGAGAGGCTTGTCATCTTGCCTCCTGCCAGGAGCAGCTAATCTATTGCTGACAACGGTGCAACAGGAAGGCTCCATCGAGCATGCGTCCATGATGGAATGGCGAATGGACAGTCAGGCCGGACCCTCATTATTTCCACCTGTGGGGAGATATTCGTATGCGAATACCCCTATCTCTAGTCCTCATCCTTCTCCACAGATAACCAACTCCTGCCACACCTTGTGGGCTCCCCTTTCTTTGTGCATTGGATATGCCAACAGGAACTAGGAACTGTTGGGACATTTTCCCCTCGGAGAACCATGTAACAGAGGGACAGGCAACGTCCTGTCTGGAATGACAAGTTCTTGCACGTCTTGCACAAGTGAGTGCACCGGAGGTCTTTTCTCTGTTTTGAGGGTGGCCTGGGCCAGGGCTTGTTGCACCATAAGTTTACAGCTAGTCTGGAACTGACCAGCAAATCTCACAAGATCTTGCAGGATTCGGGCACCTTCCACTTTATGGAGGACGCCCCTCTATTTGAAGGGCTGCCTACCGTCCAAATATGGTTGAAAGATAAAGAACCACAGCAAATGAGAGCAGAGACCTTGAAAGCTGGCCATGTACACCTTCACACCTGCAAAGCAGATGAAGCAGCAGACACACCGTCAGCTAAGGTACTCTCCCCCACCCCCATGATGATGAGATGTGCTAAACGTCTATGGAAACCACATAAATTATTTGCACACTTGGCCCCAGCACACAGGTTTTTTTTTTTTTTTCGGTTGCAGCTCCCAAGCTCCAGATCTCCCCGCCAAGGGATGCTAGACTGCCCTCCCTCCTGTTGTCCTTCTGCTGACAGGCAAATACTTTTTTTAAAAAAAAGTCAGACAGGCTTCTGGGAATTGCCCAGTTACTGAGGTAAAGGTTTGTTGATAATTGGGTGCTGTATTTTTCATAATATTTTTTAAAATGTGTTAAAATTGTTTTAAATGGTGACCTTCACTGCTTTTTGTTCAGTATTTTTATCTTGTTTTGAATTTTAATGCAGCTTTTTACTCAGTATTCCTGTGTTGAGATCCATTTTGTGAAGGAAGTAGATATAAATCCAATTGCTCGTTAAATAGCAAAACACACATATAAAATGCTCACGTTATGCCAGTCTTCTTATCCTGTCTGTTCTTTTTGGGGATAAGTAAGTAATTCTGCTATATAACTCCTGGACACCCAATACAGAGACTGAGAACTAGGTGTATGTAAGCATCCTTAAGTATGATGTCCCCACATTGTTGTCCTAATAATGGCCTTGCAGACCAACTCACAACCTACTTCACAATACTTGGGCGTTGGATAGACTAGGGAGAATATTACATATCCTGGATTATGTTGTAGAGATGGGAATGTAGTCTCAGCTGTAAGTGTCTGCAGTAGGGGTGAAAAGGGCACTCCAGCTCACTCCCCAGAATCCTAAATTTAGTGCTCTAATATACTATCTAAAACTCCTAGAAGCTTTCACCACTAGCTGTGCTGGCCAGGATTTCTGGGGAGTTGTAGTCCAAGAATACCTGGGGACCCAATTTTGTTAGCTGTTGCCTAGACCATCCAAGGTGTATAGTGATTTTGTGGGACCCAATTTTGAGAACCACCATTATATACAATAGTTGTTAGCCGTTGCCTAGACCATCCAAGGTGTATAGTGAGTAGCTTGGGGCTTTAACTGTTTAATAGCAACTCCATCTCCTTAGAATCCTGGGGCCCAAAAATCTCTGAGTAATTGAGCACCATCACCAGCTTACAATTCCCAAGACTGCTCAGAAGAAAGCCAGGACAATTAACAATAATAATGTGCTGTCAAGTCAATTCTGACTTATAATGACCCTTTCCACAGTTTTCCAAATACAGAATACTCAGAAGTAGTTTACCATTCCCTTCTTCTTGGGGTGCCCTGGAACTGCGCAGCTTGCCCAAAGCCACACAGGCTGGTTTTTCTCCCAGGAGATCTAGTGGGGAATCGAACTCCCAACCTCTGACTCTGCAGCCAGAGACCTAAACCAGTGAGCTATCCAGACAGATCTGTGACAATTACGCTGAGGCGAAAACCAATGAACATACGTAGCTGATGTGTGTTCTCTATTTGGAGGGTTTCCTCCACCTAGACAGCTGTCATGTTCAGGATGGGGAAACAGTGTTTGATTGTTTAGAATCCCTGAAATGTGAAGAGCATTTGTTCCATAGTTGACAGGGCCAGCAGCATCTAGGGACCATACAGCTGGATCTCATGTTTGCTCAAGAAGATTCCTTCACATACCCCAGTCACACTGAATCAGAAATGTGGAGTGGCACTGCCTTGGTGAATGTCCAGTCCTGTGCATATTGACTGAGAAGTTCATGTATTTTGTCCTGGTACCATCCAACAAAGCTGGAGAGCATAGACAACTAAAAAGTAGAAGTTTGCTCAGGAGGAGTTAAGACTGTGAGGTTTTGCCTTTCAATGGAACTGGGCAGAGCTAGCATCATTTAGCAAGAACATCAAAGGAGAGGTGTAACTTTAATCAATTCCTCTTTGCCATTAAAGCATTTTTCTATAAAAGCCCATTTGTTCTCTGAAGGGTCCTTTCAAGCATTAGGAAAGCCATTCTGGTAAAGGAGCCAGCATTGCCAAAGGCCATGGTAGCCCACAGCATCCTTGGGTCAACATTTATTCATACTGGGAATTAGAAGAAGATAGAACAAGGAGTGCAAAACTCAGGAAAGTTACTTTCTGGACTATAGTTCCCAGAATCCACCAGCCAGCATGGCCACCGTCCATAATGGCTGAGGTATACTGGAAGTCTTCATCCAAAAAAGTAACTTTTTGAAACTCTGATACACACTAAATAAATTATTTGCAATCTGGGTTTCATTATATATAAAGCCAGATATTTTTGCTGGTTCTGTGCCTGTTATTTGTGATATGGTATTTTTTTTTCATGTGGTGCAGTAGACAGAGCAATCCACAGGATTCAGTTCCCCAGTTCTTCCATGGAAACTCATTGTGGTGTGTGGAAATGGTAAAACCACTCCTTAAATACGTACCTCACGTAACTTGGAAACCCTATTAGGGTTGCTGTTAGTCAGTTCTGCCTAGATGGCACATAACAACAACAACAGCATTTGATTTCACACCTGCACTGAAGCTGAAGGACATCAGTCCACCACTAACTGCTAGTCATGGCAGTTCTAATATTCAGTGTCTATACTAGATATTGGGGCAGGTAACAAGAAATGCCTGTCTTTGCTTGGTTTGCAAGGGAGCATCTGGCCCTCCACTGTTGGGCTCAGAATGCTAGACCCGATGAACCTTTTTGTTTCAATGCAGTCTAAAACCTTTGGCCCTTCAGAGGTTTTGCACACCAGTTCCATTCACCCTTTTCCTTTGGCTGTACTAGGCTGGATTGAGGGAAGCTGTAGGCTAAGACATCCCCATCCCTGCAGTTTGGGAATGCAGCTCTTACTTATTTTCTAAAGAGGTCAAGAGTAGTGGGGCCGGTGTGGGGGCAGACAGAGCTACTGCAGCACATTGCAGCTGCAGTGGGGAGTGACTCAAGAGCAGCTTGTCTTGCACCGATTATGGCTCAGTCTTGATCACTTTCTTCCCAGGAATGCACAGATTGTTGTAAAACTCCTCCGGCCACAAATATATATCGAAGAGGCAGGTTTTGTCGAGCCCTGTTTATGTTCAGTGCCTTTAGAAAGTTGTATGTTTGGCAAGGTCATACTTAAGAGAAGTGAAAGAGATGGGTTGGTAGGGAATAAGTCTAGCACATATTGCAGATGTGAGACTTTCACCTCATATGTGGGACTGCTGAAGCTGTCTGATTTTCCCACTCATACCTAAGTGGCCCTTTTTCTCCCATGGCTTCAGGGGGGAAAGTAATTCCCAATATCAAGAGTGGCAAGTTGGCAATGTGCAAAACAGGGCAAGAAAAGAGTTGAATGGATCACTAAGGCAGAGCATGTGGTGGAAAGCTCTTTTTCTGAACTTCTGCCGATATTATATCAATTTTACTCTGTGTTTTTCCCCCCAGGATTGATTACTGGGCAAAGCTGTCTCTTTGATGAAAAGTGGAAGACTTATCAAGGGCAAAGGAACACCAGGCATGAGCAGAACAAGAACCGAGATCCAGACCACAGGGTAGCACTGTTTGCTAGTCCATAGCGAGACCTGGGGTTTGACCATCCAAGCCATCTTTCCGCCATCTTTAATTTGTATCTTTTAACATGAATGCAAAGTTATGTTAACTTTGGAATTGTACCAGTTAATGGGATGGAATAAGTAACTATGATATTGGCCCAAGAAATCAGCTGTACTCATATGTCACACTAACCCAGGAGTGGGCAACTTTGATGAATTCAGAGGCTAATTTTTCCCACTTGGGTCCTGATATAGGACACACACTGTGCCACTGCCAAAATGCAGTGGTCTATCACACTACCAAATGTTAGTAGCACAGATTTTGCTTGCTTTAAATCTGGTTGTCCTGGTTTCCTGCAGAAATTAAATGGCAAGGCACTATGAGTAGAGATGGAATTGAATTAATTCGGTCCCCAGTGACGAAATGTGTCAGCATGGTGACCTGAATACCCTTTTCCCACCTGCCCCCCAGATCAGCTGGACCGCTTTCCTTTTGTTGTACTCTGCCAATATCCTTCATCTCCAGCATCGTTCCAATCCCTGCCTCCTCCGACAGCTGGCCACTCCAATGAGGAGGTGAGACAGGGATTCTCCATGTGCAGCTAATTAGTGGTTGGCTGCCAGAGGAGTTGGAGATGGGCAGCCTGCATTGGAGCACCACTGGAGATGAAGGACCCTGGCAGTGGCATGTAAGTGGCCCAGTCAGTGAAGGGGGTGGGAAAAGGGCATGTGCAGCACCTGTGGTGCCACACAAATTTCATCATTGAGGACCGAATTAATTTAGTTCCATCTCTAACTATGATTTGAAGTAAACAAAATGCTTTATTTATGTTTCCCCCCTGTTCCCGCTAAAATTCAGCAGAGTAATTTGCGGCTGAATTTCAGTGGCATGCTTTCAGGGTGCTTTGGTGAGGCCACAAAAATGACCTTGGAGTAGCAGAGGACCCATGCGTCATGCGTTGCCCACCCCTACAGCATGGTTTATCTTAGTGTTTGTGAGTTGCTTTGGCCATAACATTTGTTTTCTCTATTCCTGGACTGTTTTTCTCCTCCCCTTTGATCAGATCTTATGCTCATGGGCTACTGCAAAAGAGGACAGGAACTAGGCCATGGTTCTGGGTTTGGACGGAACAAGCCAGAGTTTGTAACCCAGCAACAAATCATGATTCTTTATTGTTGTTTGTAACCAGCTAACCAACTATGAAAGGGCAGGTTTGACACAACAACCCAGAATTCAGGAAACCACAGTCTGATTTAGAAGTATATATGAACCTGACCATTCCATTTAGCTTTGCTGTCTTTTGATAATGTGTGTACTACTCATTCAAATGGTGAAATATCCTTCTATACATACAAGCAATTTCTCTGTTTCCTTTTTGCATGCGCACACACCCTCAGCATAAATGTTATCTTCCATAAAATTTATGAATGTCGTGCATGGCCCATGGCCTGGTTGTGACGGGGTGATCTGGCAGCAGAGAGGTGAAATGCTCATATATGATGCTAGCCCAGCGTATCTCCAGGTTTACAAGCGTCAGCACATTCCTGGACAATTATCTAGCAAGAAGCTCTTTAAAATAGCTCCTGCCACTGTGTTTGTCTGAAGACTTCCTTCAGCCCTTTAGGGTTAGACCACTTCCTTGGTTCAAAACAAGTTTTTCCCAACACTTTTGCCCATTTTATATCTCTGATCCTTATGTAGATCTGCTTCCATCCACATACAAATTCGGCTTTCATGGTCTTTCTGTGGGAAAGCAGACTAAGCCACATAAAGGTCTTAATAGTCTCCCTGATTGAGTCAGATGATACCCATGAAGGTTTCCTACCCACATGACTGCATCACATCAGCATCAAAGAAAGCATCTCAAGTCCTCACAGTTAGGGAGTCTTCAGAAGTCAGAATTGTAGGATACGTTCGTTCATCCGTTTAAGCGTAACAGATATGGTCATTTCTTTTCCATTTTGACTGTAAATTGGACCACAGCTTCCCAAGTAACAGTTAATGGGTACTGAATAATGCAGTGATACAGGTCTGTCTCTTCCCCCTTTGTCCTTTGTGTGAATGTGTGTTCCCTTACACAAATATAGTTCTTGCTTCCCAGGGGAGACAGTATGATTCTTGAGCTCATCTAAATTTTTATGTAGATACATAGTGTAGTCCAGTACTGAACTAAACACATGAAGGCTCATTGCAATCAATAGTTTTTCAATGGTTGTTGTGGGTTTTTCAGGCTCTTTGGCCGTGTTCTGAAGCTTGTTCTTCCTGACATTTCGCCAGTCTCTGTCCAGTCCTCTGAAGATGCCGGCCACAGAGACTGGCGAAATGTCAGGAAGAACAACCTTCAGAACACAGCCAAAGAGCCCGAAAAACCCACAACAACCATTAGATCCTGGCTGTGAAAGCCTTCGCGAATACATTAATAGTTTTTCAAGTTTACTTAACCTTGTTATTGTTGTTACGTGCCATCATCTTGCATCTATTAAAACTGTAGTCAGATGCAGCTTAATGGCACAGCACAACAACAACAATGTTACCCTAATAGAGCTTTCAAAGTATGTGAGAGATTTAAGGAGTGATTTTACCAGTTCTATCCCCAGTGAGTTTCCATGGCCAATTGAGAATTTGTTTACCCTACTGTTATTTTGGATTCCCAATGTGATGTAGTGGATAGAGTGATTGACTATGACTCTGGAGAACAGGGTTCAAATCTCCACTTAGTCGTGGCAACTTACAAAAGGAGTGGAATTGGTAAAACCACTCCTTAAATATCTCACTTACCTTGAAAGCCTTGTTACAGTTGCTGTAAGTCGGTTTCGACTTGATGGCACAGAACACACACTATGAGTTTATGATCAGTATGATGGTAATTTCCTTCTCAAAGATTAGGAAGAACGCTGCAGGAAAGAAACTTTAGCTCTCACCATCCACAAATGATTCAGGAAGTTGCTTTTTATTTTTCTCTTTTCTCCCCTTTATCTCCCTTAGAAGCTGCTTAAGTAATAACGTCTTGTCCTTAGTTCTGCTTGTTCCTTTGTCTCTCTGTGGCTCATTCCCAAACCTGGCTGTAGTTTTTTGGTTTTCCAACTTGAATCTATTCTCATTCAGGAGATAATGTTGTGTTTGGCCTGGTTTCTAAAGCTCAGATCTTACAGATTTGGGCTTTTGGTCAGCTTTCCGAATTATCTCAGAATTCAAAGTCTTGTTAAGTCAGTTTCTCCTTTCCTTCCATAGCCAAGGATTTACAGCTTCAAAAGACCTCAGGTGCTGTTCACAAATGTTACAAAAATACCAGATCAGATTATATTGAATGCAAACATTATTTCGAACATTTTGTCATTAGTAATATAAGAGAAAAAGGTTACATCCACTTAAACCAGGAGAGTCTCATTCTGTGCACTGATTAGAAAAGTCACCTTTGGGGACTACAGATCTCACGATCCCCTAACCAGCATAGCCAGTGGGGATACTGGCTGGAGCACTTTTGGAACTTCAGTCCCAAAAATAAATTCTCTTGGCTCCATTCTTGCCTGAAATTAAGGTATCTGGATGTAACATTTGGTCTCAGTAGGATTGAGGGTGGAAAACATTGTGTTTATGTTATGCTGCACTGCCTTGCAACGTCTGGCAAATGCTGCAAAAATAGTTCTGTTATTCTCTCTTCCCCACCAATACAGTATAAACCTGGATGGCTTTTTGCCCATTTTGTTTAACAGATGTGACGGTTGGAAACATGAGGAAATGATTGTCTTGTTCCTCTTGAAGGGTCATTATGGACCATGTTCTTTTCTACCCACTGCAGTTAAGAACCAGTATCTCCTGTCATGCACTGCACACCTCTCCCTGTGCAGAAGAGGCTGGAGGAGGAGCTGATGAATGATAGATTCTGAGGGCTGTGCATGGAGCAGAGGGGAAGCAGAGCCTGCCAAAAAGCCGGATGATGCTCCAGCCCCTGGAGCTGCCATCTGCTTCTTGTCAGGTTGTTGTGAAGTGCTTGTTCCTGGCTGTCTGATGACAGAGACTGCTGGATCACAGCATTAAAGATCTGGTTATGACAGAGGCTATCTTTCCCATGCTTCCTGCCTAGCCAGGATCACACAGGATGTTAGCTTTTGGTTGAGGAAGGCATAGCTCATCTCTTGTTCACTAGTGTTTTCTTGACACACGTTCTCCAAATTGTCATCTTCACTGAGAAAATATAAGAGTTCCTATTACAGGCCAAACCCACACATTTATAGTATTCCAGTTAAGCCAGAGAAACAACCCTAACTAAGCCTAATTTTATCTTAATTTTTGACCCAGCCACACAGCTGTCTCCAGGCATCTTGGGTAATTTACCTGAAAGTGGAACGGGTCTTCACGTTAGCTTTTTAGTGTGGAATCAGACCTTTAAAAAGCGATGCTTTTGGACTACAGTTCCCAGAATCTACTAGCTGGGGGATTTGGGTGTTGTAAACAAACAAACAAAACTTCCAAGCTCTGCAAAGGTTAATTGTCTTCTGGATTTGACCAGAATCTTGGCATGGATCTGGTTCCCATTTCCCAGCATGTCTTGAATAATAAGCCACCAAATCAATTGCAAACATGTAGGGAAATGAATACCTAAACCATACCTTTGTTCACCTGGATGTAAAATTCATCTCTAAGCAGACAGCCATTGAAGCATAGCTATCCTAAAGCCCTCAGAGTGTCCCAAATGTCTGCTGTTGGTAACACTACTAAGTAAGTAAGTAAGCAGTGTCAGTCTTTGCCTAACCACTGCAAGAGTAATTAATACCACCTTAATGAGGGCGATGAGTCTCCTGTTTAATTGCATAATTATTCTCAATAAAAATTCAGTGTTTTGGAAACGCCAACTACTTTATCCTTGTAACAACAACAATAAAAAGGAAGCTGATCGCTTCGTATCAGTGGAAAACAAATGTGCACAATTCAGAATATACACCCAAATCACTGGGGGTTGGCAGGATCTCCACTGAGTTCAATAACAATGCTCAAAGGGCTCAAGGGGCCAATGCTCAAAGGGTCAAGAGTCGTCTGTTTTCATTCAGAGCAGCAACATTTGCTTCTGGTCAAATGTTATGTTATGGACGTGGATGACAATTCCAA